CCAATACAATAGTATAGTCCACATCTTAATTTCTCATTGAAGTTGTGGAATGATTTTATCTGTTTCCACTCTAACTAAAATAAAAATGTTGGTGCAAGCTGTAGCATCTCAAACAGATTCCCTGATCTTGAATTATGTTGTTTTCATTCGAGTTTCATTCACTCCTCGTAACGGTGGTAAATCTTCAAAGAAAAAAAACGAAGTACCGCCAGCACAATCTGTGTTCTTGATTAAGTCTCAAGTTTTTTTTTCATGCCACTCTTTAGCCTCTTCAAATACATGTATGTTTAGAGAAGTTGCTGAGAATGACTGTTGCCAAAAGTGCATAAAAGCGTTTCTAGAGAATTTCTGCGCAGTGAGTGAAGTTATCCGGCAACTACGACACTCTTACCCTCTTACTCTTAGACAACAAACACACAGCATTTGATGGAAAAACATTGGCTGATTTTAAATTCAGTAAAGTTGGTTTTTAACCAAGTCACGACAGCTGCAAGTAATACACTGTGAATTTTTTGTATTACTTATTATTAGTCTGTCACAATAAGGCTTGAAGTTTTCGCAATAAAGACTAAAAATTTCAAAACCTGTAGCAAGAAGCGCATTCAAAATGAGTTAACATAACGTGGTTTCTGAAATGCCTCCGTTCAATTTAAAGGCTGTGAAGGTTTCTTTTTAGAAACTATTCTATATGTAAAGTGATATTATTCTAAAGTAAGCCAAATTCAACCTCTCAGCATCAGATTGCTTGTGAGAATGTCGCACTAGTTGATGCTTTCCCCCTTACCGAAAAGTTTTAGGCAGGGCCTGGCACCAGCTGGCACGGGGCAAGCTGGATATCGTTTTTGGAGCAAAAAGCAAAGGGGGTTTCGTTTTTGTGGGCGAAGAGATACGCAAAATTGGCGACGGCGACCTTTTTTTTAGTCGACGTTTCTTTTTTGGGGGGTTTTTTAGGATTTTGGAGGGGTATCGTTGAGAATCAAAGGGGACTTCGTAAAAATTAGGAAATTTCAAGGAGGACTTCGTTTTGAAAATTCCCTGGTGCCAGCTCGTGCCGAGCCCTGGTTTTAGGTTGTCTCATGAATTTTTCCTTACTAAATCCATCGCCTTCTCATCGCTTTCCCTTATTCAGTGCGGCTTGGGTAATGATTCGACAAAGCAAAGCGAGCTCTACAAGATGACTGTTAAAGGTTCGCCTAATTCGTATTCCATTGAAGATTGAAACTGAAATCTGATAGTAACTGAAAATAGAACTAAGCGTCAAAGTAGTACTCCACTCCATCCCAAAAGATCCTGAAAATAAAAATTTCCTACTTACATCAAGCATGTACACTCAGACATTTAACACACTATTCTTTCCTCCATCATTTGAAATGAAAAAAAAATGACAGGAGTAAAATGGCAAACTCCGCCCCTAACGATCCTAAGTTCCTCTCACAGTATAAGACATTATTTCAATACCAGTACTCTAGGTGCCATGATTCTCAATGATTTCTGGGTTGAGTTCGGAAAAAAATAATAAGACATTTTAATAGAAGAGTAGTTTTTTTTTACTTTCTAAAAAAGTTTTTGCAGACCTAGAAGCAACGCTGCAATTCCTATGTGATGGTGTGCATTCATTGTGACCAGTTGCAGAAAGGAAAACATCCTCGCTAATAGTCAAAAGCATAGTAATGACTTCTTGTTTACGCAGTCCATTTCTGAGCGCTTGGATTGTTTTCTATTTTTTTTCGAATAGATGCTTTCGTAAACATTTACAAAGGCAGTATGAGAAAATGTATTGTCATTGTTGCTTTCTGTACCTCCGCTCAAAAATTACACTTCAAAATATATCTGTAGTTGCCAAAAACTTTGTAAGTCAGGTCACGCATTTTGATCTGCGACCCACAAATCCAGTATCAGTCACTGCAGATCATAAGTACGCAATAGATAGAAAAGTCGTATTTAACATAAAATTTGAGCATACGCGTCTTTTGAGCTCTTTTCCATTTCTTAAGTGAGTTTCAGTCAATTTTAAAGCCCTATTTCATAAGCTGATACAAGAAAATTCGGGGCACCTACTTAAACATAAGGATTTTACACTAGGGAGTGGGGGAGAGTCCTTCGAGCTAAATCATCTTTGAGTTCAAAAAAATTAAACTTATGTATCTTCATATGAAACTAGCTGGCAAACCCGGCTCCGCCTGGCCCTGTCATTATTATACTGGTAATCAGCATGCTCGATTACTCCCAGTCCCGTGGCTCAAATTTTGCAAAAAAATCGATAAAATCGATATCGATCGACAACGAAAAGTAGCCTACGACACCTTCCCTGCCCGGAGCATATGTGTGCCAAGTTTGGTCCGGATCGCTTCAGAAATATAATTTTCTATTCGGAACATACGTACACACAGACAGACAGACATACAGACATACAGACATACAGACATACAGACATACAGACAAACAGACATTCAGCTTTATCCTGATGATCTTCTTCCAAAAGAATTTACGCCTCGTTTTTTACAAAAATTTCTAATTAATTTGTAAATTGATTCAAACTCACATAATTGTTGTATTAGGTTGTCCCAAAAGTAATCCGTATCTCTTAATAAATCACATTGTTTTTGTTTCCCTAGCAGATTTAGGGTATCATTCGATAGAGCGAAGCAAGCTCTACAAAATGACCACCAAAGATCCGCCCAAGTCGTAATCCATGAAAAGTTTGGAGCAAAAATCGAAAAAGAATTTATCACCTGAAAATTGGATTTTCGCGAAGAAAAATCCTACGGACCTCAAACTTGGTCATTGCACAGCAGACACATAGTAGTACTCAAATATGCCTTTATTGGATTTTTTGCATGCATAGAAAGCGAGAAAAAAGATTGTCCAAAAATGGAAAACTCCGCCCCCAGCCCCTCCCACATATGTCATTTTATACTACAAGCCTCACTAAGTATAACCTCAAAATTTTACCTTTGTTTATGCTTTGGTAATCGAGAAATACCAAGTTTTACATGAAAAACCCGAAAAAAGCGGCATTTTGGCATTTTTGGACCACCTTTGTTTCTGAACTTTGAGCCCCTGAGAAAATCCATCAAATACATTTTTGCGTACTACTATGTGTCTACTGTATAATGACCAAGTTTGAGGTCCGTAGGATTTTTCTTCGCAAAAATCCAATTTTCAGGTGATAAATTTTTTTTCGATTTTTGCTCCAAACTTTTCATGGATTACGACTTGGGCGGATCTTTGGTGGTCATTTTGTAGAGCTTGCTTCGCTCTATCGAATGATACCCTAAATCTGCTAGGGAAACAAAAACAGTGTATTTATTAAGAAATACGGGTTACTTTTGGGACAACCTAATAGTAGAAAAGAAACTCCAATCATCTTGACCGATTACAACTCTCTACAAAGAATATTATTTACCCTTTATTCGCGAAAAGTGCTGTCTATATACTACATTTTTTACAGACGTGGGTAGAGCTTATACCCTGTTCGCAGTGACGAACCGAGCGCGGGGGAGGGGGGAGGGGATTTTTGAAAAATTACTTATATGGGTTATAAAAATGCGTAATTAACTTGTTTATTTCTGTAAACAATTAAAATACGTTTAAATTTTTAAAAAAATCAAATTAGTTTTGTGAAAAATTTTTCGGGGGCGTGATTTAGGGGTTGGGGACCCGCGAAAATTTCGAGAAGCACCCCAAAAAATATTTTGGAGTACGTGGCTAACGCCACGCACCTTCACTGAAAAAATTCCCCCCTCCCCCGGCCGGAAGTCCTGGGACCGCCACTATCTGTCCGATATGTTTAGGTAACGTTAAGTGTAAATATGCCAGATGAACAATTCTCCATCAGCCCGTGATGCTTCCACTTGCACTTTTCTAACGACTATGCATACCTCCTGGGAATTTTTTACTCAAATTTAGTCGTTGTTTTCACCGAGGGCGTCCGATGAGATGGCTTATTGTTATGATAAATTGCTTACGTTCCGCCTATAAAGTCAACTCGAATCTTGCATATAAAAATTAATCATCCATTTGCAGGTTAGATAAATTTGCTAAATTTGCAAAAATGTCGATTGATTTACAAATGGCTTATATCTACACCTTTACTAATGGTCATCCCTACAAACCTCTATACAACTGTACAAACAAAACACTGGAGGAATGGTATGCGACTGGGTCAGTAGAATGGCCTCTGGGACTTTACTTTCTCACCACAGGAATAATTTTGGAGGTGAGGCATTTCCTCCACAGTTCTCATTTGGTTCCTAATACGAACTAATTATCTAGATGCTCTACCTGCCTTGCCTCGCCTCAATGTGGAAACTGAAGCTGCTTAGCACTTCATGTTACAAAATTATGTTTTTCCTTGGTATTTTGGATATGTCGTCAGTCTTTGTGAACTCTATAATGACTGGCTATCTCGCAATAAAAGGAGCTGTATTTTGCACAAATCCAGTGTTATTGCTTTCTTTGGGAGCATTTGGATGTGGTGAGTCCTTCAGTGATGAGGAGATTGGGCTTCAATTTAAAGCTCAAACGTTACGAAATACTGGTCACAGTCAATGTCAATTACGTACTTCCTTTCGCAGGAACTGCGCATACTCAACGCAAGGGCCCAGCGCGCGGGCCTACAATCGATGACGCTATTTTGTATGCCTAACATGCTCGCGCGACGTGACGCGAAGCTCATTGCGCTTACGAAAAGGGAGCGCGTAATTTACGTGTACTGTATATGTCCATTTTTTGTGGCAAAATTCAAAAAGACATTTTTTTCAAGCTTACGGCTGATTTTCGACACTTCCAAGCAAAAACAATTTTGCTAAGTCAAAAATTTTCTTAAAAATTGATGTTAATCATTTACAGCTTGTTGGTGTGCTAGCTGTCTAACCTGCATATTCTTAGCGCTAAACAGATGTGCAGATCTATCTGAGAATCGCTTCTTAAAAATGCTCTTTGATGGAAATCGTGTCTTCTTCCTGATGTTCCTGTCTTTTGTATACTTGCTTTTCATCATGTTCTTCACAACACCAGCATCATTCAACTCCAACTATGTTTCCTGGTTCTTCAATCCCATGACGGGGCAAGAGGTCAGTTGAATGAGATAAACCAAAATAATGAACTTATGAGATTTTTTATGCAAGTATGGGTGGATTAGGTGAATGGTGGGGGGGGGGGGGGAAGAAGCCCTCGTCATAGACTTTTTGTTTCATACAGACTTTGTCAAAACTTTTCATAAGCGAATTATAACAGTTGGCAGAATCCGACGTTAAATATTGTGAAGAACGAAAGGAAAAAACACTTATTCTCCTTCTAATTGATGATGAAATTGAATGGAAAAGATCAAAATGAAAATTTTTTTGCCATTCTGATTTACAGTCACTCAAGTACGCCAACGTCTATCATGCCATCAACAATGTTATTGTTTCGGTAACGACACCCTGCCTCTATATTTATTTGTGCACCAAGCTCTATAGAAAAACAAGGAGTTTGACCTGCAAAGTTGGAAGATTTCAGAAACAGGTTGGCAATCTGCAAGCTTATTATGTTATAGGAAGTTAACGGTTGTGAATTGAAGAAATGATGTACCCTTTGATTCAACTGGCTTGGCGATTGGAAGGAGGGGCTTCGTGACCTGATTAAGGTTAGTCAGAGAGCATGCGCACGACAGAGACGCAGACTGCGTCGCGGGCACGAGCGGCCTTAATTAGGTCACAAAGCCCCGCCTTTCAGCCGCCAAGCCATTTGAATCAAAGATTATGACAATTTTCGTAGCTTTGGGCATAATTATGATTCTAAATACTCTAGGTGTTTCTTCAATCATTTTTGATCTGTCTCATAAATGTCATAGCAGCATATATCTATGTATACATGCAGTACGGCTCCCCATCAAAATGGTTCGTAATCACTGGGCAAATAGCCTGGCAACTTAGTGCAGGTAAACGGTCTAAGCGGACTTCCTTTTTCTACCCATCACTTCATAGCTATTTAGGATTTGTTTGCATCATCTACTTAGCGATTAACCGTACGATTCGACGAGGTGTACTTGAATTGCTGGTGCCACAACGATGGATGGGAAGAGTTCACTCAATCCTTATGCCCACTACTCTTGTATCTGGATACCATAGTCAAAGCGGCATTAAGAATTAATCTGATTGTTCATTACAAAGTTGAACTGACCACCACTGTCCTGACATCAGTGGCCAGCTATGTATGTTGCCTAAGTACCGGAAAAGGGCTGTACACATGTATCTCGTTGTACTCGCAGAAGACGCCATCGAAAGCGTTATAGCGTAAAAAAAAAACGAATTTTGTTTAGTTTTTACATCTTGCTACCATGAAACATGTAAAGCTTGGGATGTAAATGTCATTTTACCATAAGCTAATCTGCCTAATCTGCCGGAACTTTTCGATAAATCATTGAGTATTGAACTTTGTGCGAGCACAGGGCCAATGTAGCGCTGTTAAGGTTAGACTTGTACCTGTCTTCTACAATGAGATTTACTGTAGTTGCGAATTGCAATCAATTAATCATATGCAAACTCCCGACAGACACCATATCTTAACTGCTTCAACTTTATTTTCCTCCTTAATATGAGCATGATGCTCGTTGGTTAGAGAACGACACCTTGCAAAGGGATGATCGATTATGAATCGCCGGCTGAGAGTTTGTACAGCTAATAAGTATCATGCTATATGAAGATGTACTAGCTGGAGTGCCCAATTTCGCCAGGGCCAGCATCCGAGTTTGGATGAAAGGAATTCTATATCGGGTAGAATGACGAGATTTGCTCTTCGTTGCTTTTTTGCTTGCTTACTCCCTTCTCCCCTTTCTCCCCCCTCCCCCTGCCCCATCCCCGCGTTGAATGACTCTGTCCTTGTATTCCCCGTAGATGGAAATAAACTTCACTGCTTGCTTATACAGTCCTTTTCAACCTGAAGTAGGCGAAACATTTCAAGTGGAGCAGTGCATCCGCACCGTCACTAGCACAGCGAGATATGTAGGCTAAAATGAAGAGACGCAGACTGCAAAGCGGCGCGAATCGTTGCGAAGCGGACTCCCGCCAGTTCAATTTCCGCATCAACTTAATTGAAAATTACTACAACAAATTTGGTAAGAGGGGTTGTTAAGATTCATTCTTTTCAAAAAATGCCGAAAATCGACAAATGAACAGAAAGATAGAAAACTTTGCCCCTACGGGTAACCTGTGATAACGACCGGTGTCGGAAACATATCTGAACATTTGGCGCTGGTAGGTGCACACCCAAAACTTTCTGTAATCCACACACTAGCTGACCATTCAAACACTGAGCTTCATATATGTATAGATTGGAGAGGGAAGGCCTAGATCGTTTGGGTCTTGACAGAGAATGTGTTGCCATAGTATCTTGCCAGGATAGCCGGATTCATTGGCTTATCATGACTTGTAACAACGAGATAAAGGTTGTTTACGTTTCTGTGTGTGCTAAATCTCTGTATGCCAAGGAATTTATGGAGCCTCACACCGGGTCTAAGCCAGTTCAAACTGCACATGCTCATAGCATTTACTCTCACACAAGGAGAGGATCCGATGTGTGAATCTTACAAAAATTGCGTGTCAAACGGTCCACATGGCTTCGAGCTCACAAGAAAGCCCGCATCTAGCCCCCGTCTCAAAAAATCAGGTTTGTTTGACCTATACATATGTGCATCTCAATTAATCTCAATTCAAAAAGTGATGAAAAAATCTAGCACAACTATGTCGCCCAAAAGAGTTAATGGAGTTAATCGAAGTAAGAAGATTTTTGCTCGGAAATGTAGTTCACAGTGCTATTGTCCACCTATAAAGCCGTAATCACTTCAATAGCTAATTCAAATGCGCATATATTCTACAGCAGGAAGATTTCCACCTTCCAAGCACCCTGCATGGAAAAGCTGGGGTGAGTAAGTGCCTACCATTCGTGATGGTCAGCATCCCCCGCGGGTTCTCAAAAACAACGCCAAAGTTCGAGGTGCAAGGAGTATGCCATGTGTATGCCATGTGCGTAGGAGTTACGAGCTTCTGCGAAGCAGAGATGAACGCATTGATATTATATCAACCATTAACACAAAACATTCCAAACATTTTTCGTTTTTTTGATAAACAATGATTAAGTTTAAACGTTAGTTAGTAAGTACTTGTGGTAAAGTTGTGGCTGTTATTGATTTCGCTCTCTAATTGTTTTTTCACTGATGCGCGTCTTGCTACATTTGAATTCAAACTTTTTTTAAAATTCTTCTTTCTCTTCTGCCTCCACGGTGATGCAAATATTTTCGCATCCGGCTTTAGCAGTTTTGCTTGCGTGCGCGTGTGAGTAGCCTCGCTGATCTTCTTTTCCTTTTTGAGTTTTTGTATTGGCGAATGTGAGACACTCAGCTTTTCTGTAGTCTTCTGAATACGATTTGGCCGTTTTGTTGTCTTATTCACAGTCATATTTGGCCTTTTCCTTGTCCTACGTACAACATGATTTGTTTTTATTTTGTCGAGTGCAAGTACTTCCTGTTTTGTCTTCCTTCCACCGGCTTTTACTGTCGTTTTCTTCGACTTCTTCTCATGTTGCGTTTTTAAGCTCGCTTTCTTGAATTTTCTAGTTGTAGGACCTTGCTGCAGTGTGTTCCTCTTTTTTCCAAATTTAGATACCTTCAGATTCTTGGACTTCTTTCTGTACCACTTTGTGGACTGTTTCCTTTTCAGCAAAGAAGTAACAATCTTCTTTGGTTTCTTTCGAAAGTGAAGTTTGCCACCGTCGACGGGAACATCGAACTCTAAAAGGAGATTTTGTCCCTAATTCTCCTGTTTATCCCAAATTTTTATTCACCTTGGGCTTCTGCAACGTCGTTAATTTTGCTTCCTCCATCTTTCTGAAAAGTTTTTCTGAAAAGTTTAAAGCAATTTCAATCTCCTTATCGAACTGTTTGATCTATCAATCGATTTCTTGAAGCAAAAAATTCTGGATCTCAAACACAGGCCCGTAGTAAATCCCCCTCTCAGCTCAGATGATCTGCGCTGACCCCCTCAGAAGAAATCCGCAAGCTAAGCTTATGATCCTCCTTGCTACAGTGCATTAAGAATGGACGATGAGTTGGCAGCCAAGGGGCCGGTCAGCTGCCGCAATGAGCTGCGCTGCCTGCCCTAAGCTAAGCCGTTGCCGTCGGCCTGCCTTACGGAGATAGCGTGTCTGCAAGGAGACGCAGACACAAATCCCGTAAGTTGCTCGTGAGTAACCTACGGGACACGTCAGCTGGCTAATTCTGCGGATGACAGTGCCCGAAATTGCACAAATAGGGTGGCATACGAATGGGGATGATCAATGAACAGCTAATCGCACAAAAATGGGATATCAAGTTTTTTCTACATATTTCTATAACGACCAAATCTTCGTATTTTTCGAAGAATGTTTAAAATAAAAATCAAACTTTCTGTTTATCTTCTAAAAATCATGAAGTTTTATGGATGTTAATGCTAAGTTGTACTCCGTTTATGTCCTAGTTTGCGCAGCAAAGACAGCGCCCACCTCGATTTTTTGATAGTGGCTGCTATCAAGGATTGCCCCGATATAGCAAAAATGTCGGCACCTGCCGGTCGCGAACCCTGGGGCTGCCGCGTGTATCACACTAGCTTTAGCCATTTGACCAAACCTGCACAACGTACGAGCTTTTTTTTTCTTTAGGCTGGGTTCATATTGATTCCCATGTTCTGGAACTGTTCCCGCACAGTTCTCGCACTGTGCTGGAACTGTGCGGGAACTGTGCGGGAACAGTTCCAAAACATGGGAATCAGTATGAACCCAGCCTTAAGAACACGCAGTTTCTATCAAGCCTACAAAACGATCCGCATCCGGATCGATGGCTTGCTTGACACTGCGCCGTAAGGCCAACCTAGGCCCGCTTCTGAGGAGATGCACTGACGGGGGGTTTACTACATGCAACAGTTTCGTAACGTCGTAAACACGAGAAAATCCGAGATCCTGTCATAGGTTATGAACTTTACTGCATAATTGAGTATGACTAGTGCTAATCAATAAGTTGATGGGGTTTTTGTGAAGTTTCATTACCAACTAAATATGTATAAATAGACTTTCCGGTTGTTGCACATGTGTATGGCCAGGCCACAAATTTTAGGTCTCCGAAGGCTGTCGACTGTCCTAACAAGCAAGAGGTTTTTAAGCAATTTCCTGTCACTCTTACGAATGTACAGATGCTCTTTTAGTGTCATTCTGCTTTATAAGATGTAGGTTACAAGATGCAAAATACAAGTAGATCAAGTTGTCCCGATAAAATATGACTATCACTGAGGACGAAGTGAAACAAGATCTAGAATAAGAATTTCTCAATAACCTTTTTAGGCTGATTACAAAGGTACCATTAGCATTTCTAAAAGCAATAGCTTCTGCAAATATCTCATGCCAAGATGACCAAGAAAGTAGGGCCACTACGCGCACTTTTTGATAAATCATTAAGACAGAGTCTATCCTTTGGTGACTTCTAGCTAACTGTATCTGGTCAAATCGCAGTTTTTAATCTAAAGCTCTTTTGAATGCTACAGCCTATCTTAAAAAAGTAATCCTTTAGATTTATTTCTTGGTAAAAAACGTTCTAATCTGCAAGTTAAATGAGTGAAGTCAAGGGCAACCTACGTTAGAAATACTTTCTTGTGAAGCATAGGCCGTTGAATGTTCCACATTAGTTACTTCGTTTGAAAGGTTGGCTCCTGGATCCTCTATACTGGCTTCTTCAGGGCCTTCATTTGTTGATTCTTCGGCAGTTTCTTTACTTGCTAGATCTGAGTAGATACTTGTTCAGACAAAAACACTTATGCCTCCAAATTTAAGATTTGCGATGTTAAAATGATTGGCATGATATATATATAAGAAAGAAGTAGAACGGGCGGAGGAAGAGTGGTTGAAAAAATGCTCGCAGCGCCCTGGAAACTTTTTACTTGAGAGAAAATGGATTACATGTATACTTGAAAGAAAGCAGCCTGAGATCTACCTTAGCTACCAAGTACCTATACATCAAAACTCAAAAATTGCGCTTGGAGTGTATGTGCTTTATAGAAACGCGCGCCGTTCGAGCGATCAAGCTGATACTTTGCACACACATTCCGTTGCCGAAGAAACGTAAGCTACTT